AACCATATTTGTGAGCACATTTACAGAATCGTAACTGCGATGAAATAGGTCTGAAAATAGGTGCAGCTTACAAGGACGTTCCTTTATCGGTGAAATCATTGTATGGATTGTTCTTTAGTCATTTTTGTTCAAAAACCAGTCATTACTTATTCCTGGGACCGGGGAGTGGAGGACTATTTTGGGGGGTAGGATCACTTCGTTTTCAGGGGTAAGGAGGGATCAATGGCAACCAACAGAATATAGAGAGGGAATAAAGAAAACTGACTGGCAATTTACTGCCAATGGGGGCGTTGGGTCGGTGGGGTGGGGAGGATATTATGAATGTCACAGAACTTCACAGGGGAATCGGGTAAACTTTATCGAAACACAACCAAAATCCTCCACCCTCACCAGGGGAAAACAATTACCAGTCCTTTATCCGTTTATCAAATTTGCAGAAGAATATCTGCATCCGCCAGCGATAGCCTCTGGCACCATATCTGTGTTTCCTGGGAAGGAAATTCAGGATCATGGAAATTCTACATCGATGGAGATATGAAGGATCAGGGTACAAACCTTGGGAAGGGCCGTGTGATAAATCCAGGTGGTATCTTGATGCTGGGTCAAGAACAAGACTCATTTGGAGGCGAGATCTCGCATTCTCAGTCCCTTCAAGGGATGCTTTCAAACGTTAACATATGGAATGTATCACTTTCTTCTAAACAAGTGAGAGAGATGTCACAAATGTGTCTACTAGATGAAGCTCCCAATGACAGAGTGCTTCAATGGCTGGATTTCGTTAATGGAGCTCGTAAAGGTGGAGTAAGGCTGGTGAAAACATCTCCTTGTAAGATAGAGAGTAAGTGATAGAATCAAACAAAATTTGTGAGGGGATTTCTGTCACTAGTTTCGCAAGGGCGGTGGAGTTGATAAGTAGAGCATGGAAAATGGGGCCCAAGCAAACATATATTGTGTAGGATAAGTCTCCGAGTATATGAACGTCCCGTCAACGTTAAAGAATAAAAAAAACAGCGATTTGGTTTTCACTTTAATCTGCAATATAGTAACCAGAAATAAGTTTAGTAGCCGCTCCTTACAATGAAATTCATTAGAATTTATCAGATGTCTAGCTATCAAAAATAACTTCAAAGGTAACACATTAGACATTTGATATGAAAGTGATTTTACCTCTCTATTCGTACCAGCCAAAGTGGACTTTTCAATCCGCTCAGAGCTGTAATTTTTTTTTCTGTTTTCTTCCAAAACGGACAACGATCCACGCAGGGAAATGCAGACTTCCAGGAGATTTATTGCGTATGATGGAGAAACAAAATTTATAATTTTTATATTCAAGATGAATTTTATATTCAAGTAAATTTCTAACTAAGCAAAGTGTTCGAGTATTCGTTTCAGCTTTGAATGGCGAAACTATAAGAAAAACACGATGACAAACGAAAGATGTTCAACTTTTTTCGTTTCTATATTTTCAGAAACGTGTCGCTGTCCCAAAAAGATATACGTGAACTGGGTGAAACTTCCGCAGCTTTGTGTCACTCAAAGCACAGAAAAAAGCAAAGTACCCGGGGGACTTTTCCCTAAACTGGTTTGCGACATGATACGTCACGTTTGTGGCACATGTCATCAACATAAAAGAACTGAAATTATCTTCAATCAAGTTAACGGGAGTTTTGAAGATATGACTGGTGTACACAATGAACATATACATCTGAATATGCCTATTACGATACTGCCTCAAGTACCTATCTCAGGGGAGGGGTGGAGACTTTTGCCCGTAGTGGAGGTACCAGGGTTTGCACTTGTCACGAGGAAGCCCAGTGTAAACACATTTGCAGTTATTCTGCAATCATCTGTCCTAAGTTGCTGGCCTCTTTTTGCCATGATGCTTACGATGCAGTTCATGTTTGGATTGGCGGTCTGGGTTGTGGTGAGTAAAGTTTTTGCCCTTTTCATTCCCAGATCTCCTTGGTAATTCTCCTTATTGTCTCCCAAACGATATTTATGTTGTTAGTTCAGGGAACTTGGTA